GTTATTCCTGTCAGTGATAACCAATATTATTGTTATTTCTAAAACAGTTGTACCTGTACAGTGATAACCAATATTATTGTTATTTCTGACACAGTTGATCCTGTCAGTGATAACCAATATTATTGTTATTTCTGACACAGTTGATCCTGTCAGTGATAAACAATAATATTTTCATTTCTAAAACAGTTGATCCTGTCATCGATAACCAATAATAATTTCATTTCTAAAATAGTTGATCCTGTCAGTGATAACCAATAATAATGTCATTTCTAAAACAGTTGATCCTGTCAGTGATAACCAATAGTATTGTTATTTCTGACACAGTTGATCCTGTTAGTGATAACCAATATTATTGTTATTTCTGACACAGTTGATCCTGTCAGTGATAACCAATANATTGTTATTTCTAAAATAGTTGTCCCGGTACAGTGATAACCAATGGTAATGTTATTTCTGACACAGTTGATCCTGTCAGTGATAACCAATAATAATGTCATTTCTAAAACACAGTGAAAACCAATATTATTGTTATTTCTGACACAGTTGATCCTGAGTTGATCCTGTAAGTGATAACCAATAATAATGTCATTTCTAAAACAGTTGATCCTGTTAGTGATAACCAATAGTAATGTCAATTCTAAAACAGTTGATCCTGTCAGTGAAAACCAATATTATTGTTATTTCTGACACAGTTGATCCTGTCAGTGATAACCAATAGTATTGTTTTTCTTATATTGATAAACGAGGAATAAATAAAAGAGAAACACTTACCTTTAGAGGATGATTCCGGTCTATCTGTAGTGGTGATACTTTGAGTATTTGTAGAACTTGTATTTGATAGTGTGGGGTCTATTAACAGTCCAGCTGACGTTGTTACGGTGCTTGCCTCCTGTGTTATATGCGAGGTAGTATCTGAGGTACTAGCCGTGACCACGGAAGCATCTGGTCCAGTTACTACATCAGAAGGAAAGAAATAGATAAAACAGTTTAACGTAGTGGGAAAAAAATATCAGTCACCATAAAGCATGAATAACAAGTGATGTAAAGAGGAATATAATTCCGTTTTAAATGGGCATTTTCTGCGGTTTTATTCTTTTAAATTTGCTTTGGTAAGGTTTCTGTTCATAATTTTCGCAAAAATATATCAAATGTTTAATTACCTGTTGCATTATTTCCAGGTGAATTGAAGATTGTTGTCGCTATAGCGTCTGTCACTGGCTCATTCGTCACTGCTTCAGTAGTAACCGATTCACTAGTAAGTGGTACATTACTCAAAGCCGTTGTGGTTCCTACCAGTGTAGTGGTTTCTGGTGCAGTAGTAGACATTGTCGTTGCTAACGGTGTAGTCGTTTCTGAAACAGTTTGAGCTGATGTAGTTGCTATTGGAGTCGTTGTTTCTGAAAAGGTCTGAGTCGTTGCAGTTGCTAGCGGTGTAGTCGTTTCTGAAACAGTTGTTTCCGGAACAGCTGTAGCCTTTGTTGTCGCTAATAGTGTAGATGTTTTTGAAATAGCTTGAGCTGTAGGTGCTAGCGGTGTAGTCGTTTCTGAAACAGTTGTTTCCGGAACAGCTGTAGCCTTTGTTGTTGCTAATGGTGCAGATGTTTTCGAAATAGCTTGAGTTGTAGGTGCTAGCGGAGACGTTGTTTCTGAAACAGTTGTTTCCGGAACAGCTGTAGCCTTTGTTGTCTCTAATAGTGTAGATGTTTTCGAAATAGCTTGAGCTGTAGGTGCTAGCGGTGTAGTCGTTTCTTAAACAGTTGTTTCCGGAACAGCTGTAGCCTTTGTTGTCTCTAATAGTGTAGATGTTTTCGAAATAGCTTGAGTTGTAGGTGCTAGCGGAGACGTTGTTTCTGAAACAGTTGTTTCCGGAACAGCTGTAGCCTTTGTTGTCACTAATAGTGTAGATGTTTTCGAAATAGCTTGAGTTGTAGGTGCTATCGGTGTAGTCGTTTCTGAAACAGTTGCTTCTGGAACAGCTGTAGCCTTTGTTGTCGCTAATAGTGTAGATGTTTTCGAAATAGCTTGAGTTGTAGGTGCTAGCGGTGTAGTCGTTTCTGAAACAGTTGCTTCTGGAACAGCTGTAGCCTTTGTTGTCGCTAATAGTGTAGATGTTTTCGAAATAGCTTGAGTTGTAGGTGCTCGTTGTGTAGTCGTTTCTGAAACAGTTGTTTCTGGAACAGCTGTAGCCTTTGTTGTCGCTAACAGTGTTGTTGTTTCTGAAACAGTTTGAGTTGTAGGTGCTAGCGGTGTAGTCGTTTCTGAAACAGTTGTTTCTGAAACAGCTGTAGCCTTTGTTGTCGCTAACAGTGTTGTTGTTTCTGAAACAGTTTGAGTTGTAGGTGCTCGTTGTGTAGTTGTTTCTTGAACAGTTGTTTCCGGAACTGCCGCAGCCTTTGTTATCGTTGCTAACAGTGTAATTGCTTCTGAAACAATTTGATCTGTTGTAGTTGCAAGTGGCGTGGTTGTTTCTGAATCAGTTTGTGCTTTTGTAGTTGCTATCGATGTAGTTTCTTCTTGAACCGATGTAGTTGTTTGGATTGATGCCGATGAAGTTGTATTTGAAAAAGAACTACCCGTTGAGGTTGCTTCCGTAGTATGTTCTCCTGGATCAGTTGTAGATATGTTATCCACTACTATTGTCGTTGCTTCTGCAACAGTTAGCTCTGGAGGAGTTGTAGCTGTTGTGGTTGCTACCGGCGTGGATGTTTCATGAGCTGATGTAGTTGTTGGGATTTTTAGCATTGTTGTTGTCATCTCCTTATCAGTTGCAAATGCTGTGGTTGCTACCGTTAAACCTGTTATAGCCGTTGTAGTTGTTTTTTGAACAGCTTCAGTTGCTGTGGTTGCTGGCAGTATAGTTATTTCTAGAGCGGTTTCTTGAACACCTGTAGCTATTGTGGTTGCTACCGGTTTAGTTGTTTCTTGAACAGTTGCTGTTGTTGTGATTGCTACTTGCCCAGTCGTTTCTAGAACGGTTACCTCTGGTCCAGTTGTAGCTATCATGGTTGCTACCTGTGAAGTTGTTTCTTGAACTGTTGAAGTTATTGTGGTTGCTACTTGCCCAGTTGTTTCTACAACGGTTACCTCTGACCCAGTTGTAGCTA